TAATGGCAGGTGGCATATTTATGATTAAAAATATCACAGTGGCACTCCATAAGTTGATTCTGTTCATCTCACGTAGCGTTTTTCAGTGGAAGAAACGTTTTGTCACTCATCCAAGTGACTTCTTCAGTCTCAGCTGACTGCATTTTATAAACAGTTCATTTGCATAATGACTGAAACCAGCCCAGTGAAGGAACAATGGGCCGGGTGGTCAGTTCCTTCATCGTAATTATGCAAATTCTCGTGACCATTGATCAACACCCGCTGATTAGACCACTGAGGTTGTTTGGTTTCCCCGATGTATAAATCCTGCAATCCTCCCGGCACTTAACAGCGTACACTATGTTACTCTGTTTGATCCTTGGGGTGGACCAGTTTTTGGCGCAGCGTGTTTTGAGGTTTAAAAGCCACAGAGACAGAGTCTCAACTGATCCGATACTCCTGACACATACGGGATCACTGCAGGTTTTTGCTTAGGCGGCGGTTGTCCTTCTCTCCTGAATCGGCTGAAGCTTTCTTTAGGCGCCTTCCCAGCTTTGACAAATGTCCAGCTCGGATAACCACATTTACTCAGGGCCTCCTTGATGTGATGTTCTTCTGCTTCTCTGGCCGCTGTGTCTGTGGGGATGGTGTTCGCTCTGTGTTGTAGCGTCCTGATGGCACTCAGTTTATGCTCCATTGGATGATGAGAGTCAAACCTTAATTCACGGATCACATTAACTCGGTGGACCAACATCAAATTCACCAGGGAGGATATGAAAAGTGGCAGGTTAGCCTTCTTATTACTGAGATTTCCATCAGTAATGGGGGACATCTAAAAGCTGATGTGTACCGTAAACCTTCACATACAGATCAGTATCTAAGGTTTGACTCTTTGACTGTAAACACAGCAGGAAATTATGAGCAGGAGGAACAAAAAAAACAAAACAAAAAAAACAGGTAATAAAGCTCCAAGATCCCCGAGGAGAGTGAAAGTCTGTAGTTTTAGGACAGTTTGGATTTCCTTCAGTTTTTGTGGTGCATTGTACCTGAAAGCAGATCTGCAAAGGTTAGAGTATATGAGAAATATCTTGAGTATTTAACGGGTCTTGAATTGTAGTTGCAAGATTTAAATGTTGTGTGGTAGCTTTATAACTGAACTCAGGCTTCTGGACTTGGCTGAAGAGAACGTGGGTGATAATTCAGTGTAGTTCTGAATGCAGATCGAATGTATTCAAGCATTTGCTCACTTTAGTCCATTACCTGTCACTTGTGCTTTCATTACTTCTGTATGGAGTTTGCATTTTCTACCATAGTTGTGCAGGTTTTCTCTACTTTACATTGAAAAACCTGCCTTAACCTGCCTGTATGGATGCATGACACTCTCACAAAAGAGATTCTTTATTTCAAGAGTATCACTTCCTGGTTAGATAAAGGGTAATAAATGCCTATGGAAAATAAACATTGGTTCATAAATCTTGGAAAATATCCAAAGATGTCCAATTGGGATTTGCCTATTTTCTTTTCCTTTTTTTTAAGTACTTTTTTTTTTTAGTAAATCAGGTAACACGCATATGGAAATTAAAAGGTCTACGCATACACTCACCAGACACTTCCTTAACCTGTCTAATTAATTCTTAATGCAGCAGCTCAGTTTATTAGGTTTATATGTAGATGTGGTGAAGATGACCTGCTAAAGTTCAAACTGAGCGTCAGAACGAGGAAGAAAGATGATTTAATTGACTTTGAACATGGTTTGGTTATTGGTATCAGGAGGGCTGGTCTGAGTGTTTTAGAAACTGCAATTTTCCCACACAACCGTCTCTGTGGAGCCTTGTTAATGTCAGAGTTCAGAAGAGAATGGACAGACTGCTTTGAGCTCACAGAAAAGAAACAGTAGCTCAAATAACCACTCATTACAGCCACAGAACAGCATCTCTGAATGCACAACATGCTGAACCTTGAAGCAGATAGGCTACAGCAGCAGAAGGCCACACCCAGTTCCCACTCCTGTCAACTAAGAACAGAACACTGAGGCTAAGATTTACATGGGGTCACAAAAACCAGACAATGAAATTTTTTTTTCTCTCTCTTTTTTTCTCTTTTTTCTTTTCTGAGCCTTTTCAGTACCTGCTGATATTTTCCATCTGCTTTGTGTTGTTGAGGCTTAAAAAGTGTTGCTTTTCTTGGTACTGATGGGAAACCTTTCATCCATATCTACAACACATTGACCAAGCATCATCTACCAAAGTTTGCTTTGGAAACTTTGAAAACTGCATTCTGGCCTTTACAACGAGGTGCTGCTCACACAGTTTACACCTAAATGCACTGTTAATGACAATGAAATATTAGAAAAATGTCGCCTCATGCGATGAGTCTGCTGCAAAATTCAGATGATATCGTCAGAATTGGGTGTAAACAGCACAATAGCATGGATCCATCGTGCTTTGTATCAACATTTAAAGTGGCTGTTGTGGTGTAAAGATGTGAGGGATGATTCTTGGCACACTTTGGACCCTTAATACCAAGTGAGCATAAACAGCATAGCTTACCTGAGTGTTGTTGCTGACCTTTATGACCAGTGTGCCCGTCTTCTGATGTCGGCTTCCAGCAGGATAATGTGCCATGTCACAAAGCTCACAACTGGTTTCTTGAGCATGGCAATGAGTTTTCTGTACTCAAATGGCCTCCACAGTCACCATGTCTCA